TTTTCCTTCTATATACAGACAGTTCTTCTCTCATGTACACTAACATATCACCTGCGCCCTTTGCTCTATCTCCTCTAGCTATACGATAGCTAGTGTGCGAAACAAGCACCGAAGAAACGGTCTTATCAATCTTTGTCTCAGCAATAAATAGGATATCAAACATGTTTCTATTCAGCATGTCCTTAACCTCGTCCATCTTGTTTAAAATACTGTTAATATTTAGATAAACGATTTTTAAATTGTAAACTTATAATAATTGCTGATATTAGACTGGTACCACGATAAAGAATCCAGTTCATCTGTATTAGATAACAAGGAAGCATTACAGTTGGACATCAAGCTGTCAAGAAAAAAAGAGTCGCTGAACTTTGGTAGAGCACAAAGATTGCATGTCCAATCAATATTTAGCCGATCAAGATAGTACTGAAAGCACAAAGGAGACATCTGTCAGCATTTGACATGTGACCACTTTTCACAACTTGAACACAATATGGCGTCTCGATTGTTTCATACCGCCATATCACGTTCTCTACAAGGGTATTTAGGAGTATATTTCTTTGTTGGTTTCTTTATTAAAAGCCCTGGATTTATAGCAAAGTCTCCACATAGTAAAAGATTCCTTTCCAGCTGAAAGGTAGCTGTCCTGTTAGCTGTATAAAGGACACATCCATGAAGAAAGCACTTTCCTTGAAGTTTGAAAATCGGAGCATGTATCCTTGGTATTGAAATCGAAGCACATATCCACAATTTCGATGCAACTGGGCCAACAGAGGACGAAATAGGCTTCAGAAAAGTTTCATAATCATTAAATTGAACTTGCAGATCAACAAATATTATATAACCACTAATTATCAACCACAAAGCCACAGAGCTAAGCAAAGCATGACTGACCGCAATGTTGGCAATTTCTGTTCTACTTCTGGTTACAATGTCAAGTTAACTTCCATCACCATTTGTTGCAGTGCACGTCGAACAAAAGATTTTCGGCGTTTCATCCCTTTCTTATTTATGTACAGGCTAACCCTCGGCATCCTCTCGTAAGATGTTCGGAAATTGTCGTTGAAATGCAATGATGTTTGAATTACATGAAGTAGAAGGAATGATATTATCGAAAATATAAAAATCAGCTAATTTTGATCCTTTTATGACTTTGTCTGGGAATTGTTGTGATATAAATATGCGGTATTGTTGATGACAAGGTATTTATAAAACACAATCGTACTTTTCTGCCCCCTGTGATTTTGCTGATTAAATTGGCAAGTTTGAAACAATGCAATGTATTTGATACTCAACTTCCAGTATTTTGGATTCTGAAATTTCTGACAAGTATGCTCTGATAATGCATCAGCTGTATACAGATACTTGCCAGGAATAAATTCTACATCAAAGTCATACCTCTGCAATCAAAGAAAGAACCTTTGTATTCTGGGTGTGCTTTGATAATTGATTTTGCAAAAATCGGTTGAAGAGGTTTGTGATCAGTTTCTACCTTAAAACTTTTTCCATATGAATAATCATGAAATCTGTGTCCAGGAAACTATTGCAAGTGTTTTCTTTTTCTATTTGTGCATAGTTTTTTTGCTCAGTGTCATGGCCCTGCTAGCATATGCAATCGGAAACCAGTCATCATCGACTGTGCCTAAACCTGTTTTTGATGCATCTGCTGATATCTTGGTACCCAATTTTGGGTCAAGGTATTTAAGTACTGGACATTGCATAATTAGTTTCTTTATGGTGTCAAATGCTGATTCAACATGTCATGTTGGTTGGTCTTACAACCTTCAAGACCTATTGAAGGTTATTATTTCACTAATTTTTCGTTGAAACACTTCAGAGGCACTTTTAACTTCAAATGCGAATTGAATTGTATCTACTGAACAAGGCTTGAAATATTAGCAGTTCCGAACTAGGTTCATCTAATTTAATTTGCCAATAGCCTGACAATGCATCTAGTTTTGAAAACTATTGAGCATCTGCCATATCTGCAATAATGGGAAAATGTTCTTGTAAAATTGCTTGATTTAGGTTCTTTGGGTCTAAACATATTCTAATAGATTGGTTCAAGGAGTTCCCAGACAATAAAGAGAAATGTGAAACTTGTACTAACAGTAAATTAATGAATACATAATTTTGCAAAAAGAATATCACACACATACAAGGCACTGCATTTATCACTATTTGCATGTTTCCTTTCCAGCAAATACATGTACCCCAAAAACCACATGTGGTTCAAACAAACGTTTACATAGCAATGGAGTGGTACATCTGCTTAAAGAACCCTAAAAGCTTTATAACAATCATGTTTTTGCAAACTTAGTCTTAGTTCCAGATTATACAAGCTACCAAAGGGTTTTTGTATCTGCGAAGCAGATATATTGCTATCGCAAACATACTGTACTGTTACCATATACATAGCCATTCACCGACAAGCTAATATAATTAAGCCAATTTAAGCCAATGAGCGATTGGCTTTTATCAATTGTCTAACATGCAAACTGGCATAGTTTGGTCTCATGTTATTCTTTGTCATTATTTTTAAATCGGGTATACGGTATATTTACGTTATATTCAGGTATTTGGGATACAGCGGGTTAAACGCAGGTCACAACTTGCAGCTTCATCTAAAAAACATGCCTGTTCACGGGTCGCAGAGAATAAGTGTATTGCAATAGACAATTCCTATTATAGATTAATTTTATGCAAGGATATGCAAATAAATCACTACAGCTAGAAAGAGCATACTAAAATGAGTAAAATTGCAAAGTTTGGTTGCAAAATGTTGTAAAATGCATAAGATATAGCCTTGCAAATTTTGTATATATGCTTTTGTATCGCGTGCAGAAAATTATACAAAATTTGCAAACTTTGCAAGGCTATATTTTCCACATTATACAACATCTGCAACCAAACTTTGTAATTTTACTTTTTTCAGTATGCTCTTTCTAGCTGTTGTGATTTAATTATTTGCATATACTTGCCTAGAATTAGTCTATAATAGGAATTGTCTATTGCGATACACTATTCTCTGCGACCCGCAAACAGGCATGTTTTTTAGACGAAGCTGTGACCTGATATCTAAATTTTGTAAATTTCTGGTATGAAGTATCTCAATTACAACTTACAAGTTTCAATGTCTGCAGAAATTTGTATCAATTCAATCAATAAAAGAATATACTCATTAAACTCTTATTTTAATTAATTTCAATTCTTCATTGATTAATACCATGTTAGATTAGGTGTTCAAAGTTCAAACATCAAATTTTAATAAACATTGTTCATTCACCAAGTACTAAATTATTAATGCTGACCACAATACTGACGGGCGCAACTACGAATGCACTTTTATGTAAATATGGTGGTTAACCAAGGCGTAGAAGGAGTTGTTGTGCCTGTGCCTTGCTTTTTCTACTGGATTAGAGAAGTGAAGCCAATGGAGAAATGGTCAACTATTATTAAAATATCACCAGGTACCCTTTTTGATTTGAAGAGGTGTTTCACTGTTGACAGTTATGGTGGATTTAAAGAAAAAGCTTGCGATCAAGGCATTCAAGGTATTGCCAAGCTTGGCTTTTCGATTTGTGTCAAACACAAGAAACCTGATCCGCCGGATTTTCCAAGTTGGCATATATTTTGTGTGAACTTGGAAGATGAATGGCAAATTTACCAAGGTTTCCTGCTTGGGCGTGAAGGAAAAGAATACGAGTTAGTAAGTATATTTCTATCAGAGGTCAGAGGTGACATTTTGTTTCGTATTTGCTCAACCTCCTCTCAAATATTCAATGTGCACCCACAGTAAACATCTGTGGCCGGTTGTTCAAAGCTGGATTAGCACTAACCCTGGGTTAAAATTTAACCTGCTGTTTTAGTTCAATGTGTATTTCTACATGTCTATTTATTTCAAAACTTCAGACAAGAAAATTCCTATCTATCTGATCTCTGAAGAAACATTTTCAAATTTATTTTATTTTACAAGTTTGCCATTGCAATAGATCTATATAGAGTACTATGGTTACAAATGACTGGAATTTCCACACAGAGATAGTTCTCCAATAACGAGGTTCCAAAAAAGAACAAGTAATGGTATATCTAATTATTTTGAAATTAAAGCAAACATAACAATTAAACACAAATACAAGAAGACAAAGCAAACATATTGACGAACAAACAAACAAAAACTAAATTTAGCAACATGTTCGAGTTGATAAGTTCATTAGAGGGCGAGTGGTGTGACATTTAATACACACCGACTTAAATGTTATTGGATCTTCAGGGTCATAAATTTGTTGGGTTAATTCTACGTAGTATTTCATTAGATTACATTTAACTGTAGTTAAAGATGTGGTGGTATTTCGTATGAAGCCAGGAAGCGTGTTCCATACATTAGCAGCTCTGATGTAAAAGCTGTTTTGAAAAGAAACAGTTTTAGTTTTGGTTACATGAAGTAGGATGCCATTAGTCGAACTAGTATTCCATGTTTCTCATGTAGGGATCTTTATAGATATGTTACTGTCAGAGTTATTTATAAGGCATTTGTGAAGATACGCCATATCTAAATACTCATGCCAGTAACATAGAGGGAGGATTCCGATGGTAGCCAATCGTTTCTTATACAGGATAGATGTTTTGTACGGGAGCGAAAGAATAAAGTTTGATGCACGTCGCTGCAACCGTTCGATCGTTAGGATGTTGTTGACAGTTTGGGGTGCCCACACTTGACTACTGTAAGCTAGCTGGCTTCGAACGATAGTCAAGTACAGTATCTTTCTAACTCTTTTATTGTCAATGCCGGACGCTGATCTCTTGACAAAACCCAGCATTTTATTAGCTTTTGAGGATAAGTCCTGCACATGCTGGTTCCACTTCAGATCTTTGGTGATACTTATGCCAAGATCTTTTACACAGGTTTGTCACAGGTTTGACTGGGATGTCAACTAATGTGTACTGGTTGATAGTAGGTTGGAGACAATGAGTAAATTGAAGTACTCCGCACTTGGATTTATTTAAATCCATCCTCCAGTCTTGACACCAGTTCGTAATAGTGTTAAGATCTGATTGTAGGATTTCTCTGTCTTGGGGGTTACGGACAGCGCGATGACATTTAGTATCATCAGCAAACATTGACACGGCAGTACCTTGGGAGACGCTATCGGGAGATCATTTACATTGATTAGAAAGAGGATTGGTCCAAAAATTGATCCTTGGGGAATGCCGGATAGTATTGGGAATGGCTGAGATGTAACACCATGTACAGTGAGTCTTTGAAAACGCCCAGAAAGATAATTTTTGAACCAACGAAGATGATTACCTTTGATGCCGTTATGGAATTTCACAAGTAAAAGGTCATGACTTACTTTGTCAAATGCTTTCGCGAAGTTGAGGTAAATTGTGTCAACTTGGCATCTTTTTTCAAGCATTTTATGAATGTTGTGAAGAACATGTAAAAGCTGGGAAGTAGTAGACTTGCCTCTTTGAAAACCATGCTGTAACTCGTTCAGTTTGCTGGAGATATGATCTGTAAGTCTATTGTAGATGCACCGTTCAAATACCTTCGAGACTAACAACAGAAGTGAAATTGGTCTATAATTGGAAACTTCATGAAGTGGACTTTTCTTTGGGATTGGACAAACATTAGACAACTTCCATTCTGGCGGAAGTTGACCAGACGATAAACTTTTGTTGAAAAGTTCACATAATGACGGAGCTATACTAGCCGCGCAGTTTTTTAGTAATACAGCTGGGATGTTGTCAGGACCAGTTGCTTTCTCTTCATCAAGATTTTGAAGTACATAACGAACTTCTCCTTTGGTTAGAGTAAGATCTGAGATGGTGGTTAGATCGATCATGTCATCTTCAAAATCAACAGAGAAGAGTTGGTTGTGATTAAGGTCGGGAGTTTGAAACACCGACTAGAAGTAGCGATTTAGCATATCAGCAATATCAACTGGGTTGTCAGCAGTCGAAGACGTTGAATCTTCAATGGACCATGACATTTTAGCAGGGATGTTGGAGTGATTTGAGGTGGATTTAAATAGTGACCAGAACTTTTTGCTACTGGACTTTAACAAAGATGGAAGTTTTTGAAAATACTCCGTATGTTTAGCTTGTATTAACGTTTTGGCTGATCATGTGAAAGTAGTGTGATTGACTAGTGCATTTCGTAGACCGTCCCAATCAGCAAGTTTGAAATTGAATACAGTTCTCTTGTCATGCCCTGGCATTTTTAAATGAAGCATAAAATCGAAGAACATCAGACGATGGTCACTTGAAAGGTTCAAAGATTTTGCTGAAACACATGATAAACTACCAATGTTTTCTGAAGTGTTTGTTAGGATAAGGTCTAAGATATTGTTTAGTCTAGTGGGATACATATTCACTTGGTGAAAAAAAAAGTCGAATGTAAGTTCTCTAAACTCTGATGAACCAACCGCAGGGGGTCCTTTCTGATATATTCGGTAGAAGAGAGGAATTCCAAGTTAAGTCTGGGAAATTAAAGTCACCAGTGATAAGTACTTTATCGTAGTGGGAAGTATCATTCAGAAATGCTTTGAATAATTCAAGCCATTCATTTTAAGTTACAATTCGGTGGTCAATAACAAACCGAAACAAGAAATTTTTTGGTGTTCATCATTTCTAACTCAAGAGCAATCATTTCTAAACGATCTGACCAGTTTGGATTATTTTTACTTGCGGTTAGTCTATTATATGTAATATATTCACGTACAGCTATAAGCACCCACCACCGCGTTTGTCAGCCATTTGATCGTTTCTTATTATGTTATAACCTTTTGAAAGTAATTCATTGTTTGAGAAGTTGCTGTTAAGGCATGTTTCAGTTACGAGAATCAAATCAAGATTATCTGCGTAAACCAGATCTTCAGACTTCATGTTATCAATTAAAGTCCCGTCAGGTAATTTTTTGGTACTTCGAATACTCTGGGCATTGAAGGAAAGACACCGAAGCATATGATCATTACCAGGACCTGGGTTGGTAGCAATGTCACCAGATAATAAGATCCACAGGAGGAGGTGCATGTTGTTATTGATTTGGAATAGAAGGCCATAACGGTAGTTGCTGGACAATGAACACTTCCTTAAAAAATTATCACACGTTGTTATCCAAATATAGCTTAATCTGTTTGATATTGATGAAAGTTCCGATGAGATATTGAAAGTCTGCGGCGATGATGAGGGGGTCTCATAATCTACTACTGGTTTAGATCTAGAATATAGCCAAAAGGTTATAGAAAGAAACAGGAGGCAACTGGAGATTAAGTTGGGCAAACGTCGGCGGGTTATTAAATTCATTGTATATCACCTTTAAATTTTATAAGGGAAAACCCCAAATAGGAAACGAGAGCATTAGCCAAGTCAAAGGTCAACTACGAGACAATACATACATAATGTTGCCATGACGAACGATGCTGGATGAGAATAATTAAAAAAATTCCAACAGTCAAAATCATGAAAACCTGTATTATTTAAATTTTCTTTATCACAAAAACACCAACATTGATACAATAACAGGGACAAAGTACATTATACAGTACAGAAAATTTTAGACGAATCCAATGAACAGGAGACAGGATAATGACCAATAGATCAAAGAACAAATCCATAATCAGTAGTGACGAATACTAACTGCAACATGACAGACAACCACGTCCACGGTAATAAAATTCCAAATAAATGCGTAAATTCACTAGCGAATACCTCTAAATATATACCAACAGAGTCACATGTGCTTTATAGTAGATCTGATACCAACAAGAACTTTATACTTGATAATACTAATTGCAACACGTGTATACGACAGACAACCACGTCCACGGTAATAAAATTCCAAATAAATGCGTAAATTCACTAGCGAATACCTCTAAATATATACCAACAGAGTCACATGTGCTTTATAGTAGATCTGATACCAACAAGAACTTTATACTTGATAATACTAATTGCAACACGTGTATACGACAGACAACCACGTCCACGGTAATAAAATTCCAAATAAATGCGTAAATTCACTAGCGAATACCTCTAAATATATACCAACAGAGTCACATGTGCTTTATAGTAGATCTGATACCAACAAGAACTTTATACTTGATAATACTAATTGCAACACGTGTATACGACAGACAACCACGTCCACGGTAATAAAATTCCAAATAAATGCGTAAATTCACTAGCGAATACCTCTAAATATATACCAACAGAGTCACATGTGCTTTATAGTAGATCTGATACCAACAAGAACTTTATACTTGATAATACTAATTGCAACACGTGTATACGACAGACAACCACGTCCACGGTAATAAAATTCCAAATAAATGCGTAAATTCACTAGCGAATACCTCTAAATATATACCAACAGAGTCACATGTGCTTTATAGTAGATCTGATACCAACAAGA